TGAGACTCCTATCTCCAATAAACCACTAGAAAACCGGAAGTGGTGCTGTAGGTCAAGTGGTAGAGTGTTTGCCTTGAGCTGAAGAGCGCAGGGACAGCACCCAAGCCCAGAGTTCAAGCCTCACGACCGGCAAAAAGGATATTCACTGCCCAGGGCTAGGAAGGTGGCTCAGCTGTAGAGTGCTTGCCTTGCATGCATGAGGCCCCGGGTTCAATGCCTCAGCACTACATAAACAGAAAAAGGGGGAAGTAGCACTGTGGCTCAAGTGGTAGAGTGCTAGCCTTGAGCTGAAGAGCTCAGGGACAGCGCACAGGCCTAGAGTTCAAGCCCCACGACTAACCAAAAAAACAAAACAAAAAGAATATCTACTGTCCTAAAAGGACATTTCCTTCCATCTACAGTGATTTCCTGCCTTCATATATCAGCCACAAGGAAGCACTAATCTGTAGTTTCTACCTCTCCTCATTGTTCTTTTAGGGCGATTTCACATTTAAGTGGAATCACACAATATGTGGTCTTTCGCCTCCTTTTTTTTTTGGCCAGTATTGGGGCTTGAACAAAAGGCCTGGGCATTGTCCCTGAGCTTCTTTTGCTCAAGGCTAGCGCTCTACCACTTAAGCCACAGCACCAACTCTGGCTTTTTTCTTTTTCTGTATGTGGTACTGAAGACTCGAAAACAGGGCTTCATGCATGTTAGGCAAGCACTCTATCACTAAGCCACATTCCCAGCCCCCCCCCCTTTTTTGTTTCTTGAGTTCATCAGGACTTGTTTTCATATTTTTTTCCTTTGTTTTTTTGTTTTTGGTTTTTTGGGGGTTTTTGGTCATGGGGCCTGAACTCTAGGCCTGGGCGCTGTCCCTGAGCTCTTCAGCTCAAGGCTAGCGCTCTACCACTTGAGCCACAGTGCCACTCAAGCTTTTTCTGCTTATGTGGTGCTGAGGAATCGAACCCAGGGCCTCATGAATGCAAGGCAAACACTCTACCACTGAGCCACCTTCCCAGCCCCCTTGTTTTCATATTTAGTCTAATGGAACTGTTACCTTTGTGTAAAGGGGAAGGGAGTGGTGTTTGGGCTTGGACTCTGGAACTGGCCTCTGTCCTTGAGCCTCCTTTGCTCAAAGCTAGCACTCTACAACTTGAACCACACCTTCATTTATGGAGATAAGGATTTTACCTGCCAGGGCTGGCTTCAAACCACAGTCCTCAGATCTTAGCCTCTTGTTTTTTTTTTTTTGTTTTTTTTTGGGTCCGGTCGTGGGGCCTGAACTCTGGGCCTGGGCGCTGTCCCTCAGCTCTTCAGCTCAAGGCTAGTGCTCTACCAGTTGAGCCACAGCACCACTTCCGGCTTTTTTCTTTTGCTTATGTGGTGCTGAGGAATCGAACCCAGGGCCTCAGGCATGCAAGGCAAGCGCTCTACCACTGAGCCACCTTCCCAGCCTGATCTTAGCCTCTTGAGTAGCTGGGATCACTAGCTTTGGAATTGTTACCTTTATTTTTTATTCATTAGGTAGGCTATGACATGCAAGCTAAAGTCCAGGTGCCTTAGGAAAGGAATCATACTTGCAAAATGTGGATATAGAGCTCCACCAGAAGACTAGCCTTCCAAAGCTGTGTATTTTCCTGCCTCTAAAATTTTATTTCTGTTGGTTTCTTCCTGTTTTTCTTCCACTTCTCTGCTTTTTATCCATTTTACTTTGTATAAAGCTTTATCTTATCTTCCCTTCTCTGATCTTTCACAACTCAACCCATTGAAATTGTTACTTCCTAATCAGGGAGAAACAAAAATCTTGTTCACAATGTTTTTTCTTCATCAGTCCTTGAAATGAAAATAGCGATTAATTTGTTCAGTCAGTATTTCAGGACCTTAGGTTACATTGATGAACAAAACAAACATACTCACAGAGATAAGTATTATCACATTGCTGACTTGCTTTTATCAATTCCCTTCTCTTTTCTTTTTGTTTATGGTGTTGGGGATCCAGTCTAAAGCCACTGTCATGCCTGGCAAATGCTCAGCTTCTCAGTTTTCAAATGAAAGAACTAAGACTCCATTTATCTTGTTATTAATGGTTTTAAAGTATTGTAATAAATGTCTTTTCTTCTAGTAATAGTTTTGAGAATGGATCCCAATTTTACTGAATAATCATTTTAGTGCTTCAACATTAATGTAGATTATAGTTTTGTTTTTGGACCAGTTATCTTGAAACTTGAAAACCATAAGACAGCATTTGAGACTATTTCAGTAGTTCTGATCATTCTTAAGAAAGGCAAACGAGCTGGAGTTGGTGGCTCACACTTGTAATCCTAGCTGCTCTAGAGGTTTCAAGGATTAAAGCCAGTCTGGGTAGACAAGTCCGTGAGATTCTTACCTCCAATTAACCAGTTAAAAAAAAAAAAAGCTGGAAGTGTAGCCATAACTCAAATGGTAGAACACCAGCTTAGAGAAAAAAAAAAAAAAGCAAGCACCAGAGCCTGAGTACACACACACACACACACACACAAACACACGCGCATGCGCCCGAGCACGAAGGGAAAAACAGACGACAGACTTCCAATATTTTGATTTTATTTCTATTCACCAAATAATTATACGTTAAAATGTGTATGTGTTAATACAGTGTAGGTAATGTTAACATATTAATGATATGTAATTACAGATGTTACATGATGAGTAATAATTGAAAACTGTAATATATTAATAAAATTCATGATTACACGGATATACATATATTTTGTAGTAATGGTCTTTGACCTCAGGACTTCGTAATTGCTTGGAGGTGCTTTACCAATTGAGCCAAACTCTCTGATCTCTTGCTTTATCTTCTTGGATAAGATCTCACATTTTTGCCCAGACATGCATGCACCTCCCACATAATTCAGATGACAAGCTTGCATCACAAGTCTCAGCAATGAGATCTTGATGTCTTTTTTCCTCAGGGTTGACCTGAATCTATGATCCTCCCAATCTCTGCCTCTTGAATAGGTAGACTGGATTACAGGTATGAGCCACTATGTCCAGCTTTATTCCTCTTCTTTTGTCCCAGGTTCAGAGGTTGGGGTAGAGGGTAGACTAGTAAGAACATTACTTAGCCTAGTGCCTGTGGCTCACGTCTGTAATCCTAGCTATTCAAAAGGCTAAGATCTGAGATTGTGGTTCAAAGCCAGCCTGGCAGGAAAGTCCCTGAGACTCTTATCACCAATTAACCACTAGAAAACTGGAAGTGGTGCTGTGGCTGAAATGATAGAGTACTTGCCTTGAGCTGAAGAGCACAGGGACAGTGCCCAGGCACAGAGTTCAAGCTCCATACCAGACAAAACTAGATTAAAAAAATTAAAAAGAAACTTGGTGGATCCGTCAGGGAACATTTGTTTAATTCCTTTTCCTTTTCAAAATAGATGCAATACTTAATATCAAGTGTCTTGAAGGCAATATTATTTTTGTTTGTTTTACCATCCCAGCTTTTTTTTTTAGCATTTTCCTCTAGGGTGAGATCAAAATGATAACTGTGTTTCCTCATTCTTGGTATTTTAATGATGGCAAACTTGTGTGCTAAGAACATTTTGTAATATAACATAAATGTGTCTTTTGTCATATTATCTATTACAGGTTGTTAAAAAGGCAGACATGATCAACAAAAATATGACTCATCAGGTACAAGCTGAAAGAGATGCGCTAGCACTTAGCAAAAGTCCTTTCATTGTCCACTTGTATTATTCATTGCAATCAGCAAACAATGTCTATTTGGTGAGTAAATCTTAATCTTTCTGTTAGGTTTTTAAAAAGAGGTAGCCGAGTAAGAACAGCACCAGCATGCATGTGGTATTCAGGTAAGGGGTAGGTTTATTCAGTAGACCTGCTGGGACCAGGCAAGATTGGCACTCCACGTGGCTGGGAAAGGCCTGGGAATGAGAGAGCTGGGAAAGAGAGGAAAGAGAGAGGAAAGAACTAGAGCAGAGAGAAAGCAGAGAGAGTTAGAAAAGAGCAGCAAGAGAGCATCTGGGCCTGCGCTAGGCCTTATCTAGGGTATGCGCGGAGAAGGGTGTGGCCACATCAAATTCAGATGTGACCTTAGAGAATGCAGATGTGACCTCTTCCAGGTGTCCCAGTTGCCTAGGTAACGCAGGTACTAGGTGGAGACTTTGCTGCGAGGAGTCTGCTCGCCATCCAGGAGCAGACCTTACACTTTTTTTTTGGGGGGGGGAGGGTTCGGTCATAGGGCCTGAACTCTGGGCCTGGGTGGGCGCTGTCCCTCAGCTCTTCAGCTCAAGGCTAGTGCTCTACCACTTGAGCCACAGCGCTACTTCCAGCTTTTTTCTTTTTGCTTATGTGGTACTAAGGAATTGAACCCAGGGCCTCATGCATGCCAGACAAGCTCTCTACCACTGAGCCACCTTCCCAACCCCAAAATCTTATTATTATTTTTTTTTTTTGCCAGTTGTGGGGCCTGAACTCTGGGTCTGGGTGCTGTCCCTCAGCTCTTCAGCTCAAGGCTAGTGCTCTACCACTTGAGCCACAGCACCACTTGCGGCTTTTTCTGTACATGTGGTGCTGAGGAATCGAACCCAGGGCCTCAGGCATGCAAAGCAAGCACTCTACCACTGAGCCACCTTCCCAGTCCCCCAGCCCCAAATCTTAACCTTTCTTTAGTAATCACTGAATGCAGTGATGAAAGAGCACAGTATCTAGGTGTACTTGTATTTGGATTCCAGATCTGATACACACTAGCTTTATGATCAGCGCAGTTTAACTTGTTATATTATTAGAGTTCTGCAAAGGAAAATTACCAATACAATGTATGTTTGTACATATGTATACATGCATAGAAAGAGATCTATTTGTAAGGAACCTGCTCACTAGATTATGGAGGTTGGCATGTCTGAAATCTGCAAGGTAGCTTGGTGATCCAGAGACTCATGAAAGGTTGACATTGCAGCTTCCCCAGGCAGTATGGAGGCAGATCACCCTCTACCTCTGGGGACTTTCAGTCTTCTTTCCCTCTTAACAGCTTTTTTTTTTTTTTAAGTTCATGTGCTTTATTGTTACTATAAAGGTGATGAACCAAGGGATTAAGTGAGTCAGGTAATGAGTACAATTTCTTTCATACAGTGTCTTCTGTTCCCTCACTCTCACCCAGTCCCTCCCTCTCATCTTGACTCTTTGTTTTTTTTTTTGTTTTTTTGGGGGGGTCCGATCGTGTATTATAAAAGTGATTCTTAAGCTATAAACTCTTCTGGTACCTGAAGATTTAGTTCATTGCCAATCTTGCTTGCAATAAGCCTTCCTAAATTGATGCTGAATGTGATGTAGATTTAATGAGGGAACAGTAAAGAAAGTAGATAGATTTCCATAGGCAGAGATAAGCACTTTTCCTCTAGCCACTCTCTGCCCCTGCATTAAGACAAATTCAAGAAAAGTAAGGGATTTGTTTTGTTTTTGTTTAACAAACAAAAGTTAAGCCAGGCAGCTATAATAATAGGCAGCAATAATA